GATTTTAGTAAATTTGTGTTATTTGATATAATAGTTATATTTGTATCTGGAAAAAAAGTTAATTGGTGATTTGTGAGTCATCTGAACAAAACAACATAGTGTAACGTGATGCAAATTACTATATGATTTACATATATAGTAAAAGTAGAAATTTTTGAAATTTTTAAGTTATTATATAGAAAACTTATTTTTTTACTAAGTAAACTTTCTTTAGGCTTATAAATAAAGTTGTAGAGCTCACTGAGACGGTTTAAATGGTACTTAAATCATTAAAATTGGCTTAATATATCATGAGATATATATAAAAATGTCTTTAAATACTCGTTATTTCTACTTTTACTATCTATATAAATCATATAGTGATCTGCATCATGTTACACTAAGTTTGTTTATTGTTTTTGTCCAGGTGACACACGAATCACCAATTAATACAAAAAAAGAAAGAATAGTTAGTGAAGCTTGTAATTGACTAGGCTAATTACTATTAGAGACACTAATAGTGATTTTATTATTTGTAGTATAACAGATTGCCAAAAGGAAGTTATTGCAGAAGATATCTTGTTGTTTTGTAATTATATATAATGAGCATTGCTGTTTAGAATTATTACTTGCTGCTAATGAATTCCAAATATATTATAGAAATATTGAAAATGCTATTAATAGACATAGTAAAGCTGGTTTCTTTATAATATTTACTATAGCATATATTGGTATAGCTTTTTTTAAAGCTAGAGAAATATCAGCTATATCAGCATGAAGATTTCTATAGGAGTCAACTTGAATAGCATAAAGATTTCTAGTAACGTATTGAAAAAAGCATTTTTTTGTTTTTAGAGTAATATCTTTTAGTTTACAACCCTGACATGCTGTTAGTTTGTTGTTTGAAGAGAGAAAGTAGTGTTGTATTATAGTAACTTTTTGGTCAAAATGATTAGTTTTGCTTATAGTTAGATTTGGTGTAATTATCCAAGTTTTTTTCTTTGGTTTCCATTTAGTTAGAGTAAATAGATTTGAGTAAGTATATGATGTAGTTAGGTTGGCTATTGAGCTAATTAATTCTTGTATTTTTAAAACTATTTGGAGATTTGACCACATGAGATTTTTTGAATGTTGTGATGAAATTTATACTATTTGAAGAGCTTTATGTTACTATAGTTGAAGAATTGTTCTACATAGAAAATAGAGTAGTTATTTAGCTTTTGTTTGAGGAAGGCTATACGAGGATAAAGTTTTAGCAAAGGATTAATTGAGGTACTCTTCAAAGATAAAGGGATTGACCAGTTATTATCTTCATACTTTATAAGTTGTATATTAGTGAAATAAGCTGTGAATATAGACTAAGCTATATGAGTTTGGAGTTGTTGTAGTAGAAAAGTTGGAATATGTGTAAGAATAGAGAGATTCGAGGCTATAGAATCTTGAAGTTGTTGTAATTGTATCTTTAGAAAGGAAAATTCAAAAGTTGTATGATTTAAATTTTTTATTAAAGTTGAAATCAAGTAAGAGTTTTGAGCTTGAGATAGATTTATTAATGAGTATATTTCTGGATGGTGTAGAAAGGAGTTTGGTATTCTACGTGATAATTTAGCTTTGTGTTTAACTATATTAGGATATATATGAGTAAGTGAAGTAAGTTGCAAAGGTGACAAGAATATGCTATATAATCAGTAAGTAATTCTTAGAATTATAATACTGTTAATTATGTATATAGCTTGCTTTTTAGTTATAAGTATATGTTGGAGTTTGTTGAGGCTAGATCATGCTTCAGAAATAATTATTTTCTGTTTTTTTGAGGGATTATATGATAAAGAAAACTAGGCATCAAGATATTTAAATAGTTCATCCTTTTTTATCACAGTAATTATCTCATTATTAAGTTTAATTGTTTTGTCTATGAGTATCGAATTAGTTGCCAAGACAGATTTTGTAGGATTAACTCTGATTTCAGTAAACTTGTAGAAGGATTCTGCTTTCTCAACAATTTGTAGGAGTTCAAACCTTGTTGATACTACTCACAAAGAGTCATCTATGTATACTATAATTGAAGTGTAAACAGATACTCAATTTAGTTGAAGTAGAATCATACTTTAGTGACTATTATACTCTTTGTGTATTCGTGATATTAGAGGGTCGTAATATATCTTCCATAATAGTAATGAGATTGTTTCTCCCTAATCTACTTTATCTTGAACAATATATCGATTTGTAGTGTCATAAGAAATAATAACATGATTATAGCAGTTTGAGAGTAGAAAGGTTATTGTGTTAATAAAGGAGAATAGTAGTTTTATATGTTCTATTGCTTTGGTAAGAGTAGATATATATATTGAGTCGAAGGCCTTCAACATATCTTGTAACAAAAGCCAGATTTCCTTTTGTGTAGTAGAAGCATATTTGATAATTGTTGTTAGTTAAGAAATAGGTTGAATAGTTGATTGAAGAGGAAAAGCTACATAATTTTGTGATGAGAGAATATTATTTCTGTTAAGAATATTAGTGAGTCTGTTAGTAAGTATTTCTGTGAAAACTTTTTAAGTATAATCAATTAAAGTAATTAGATGCGTATAATTCAAATCAAAGTTATGGATTGCTTTTTTTGAGATAAGCCAAATATTTGATGTTAACTATTGATTTAGTACACTTTCCAAGAGTATACAGGTATTTAGAATTTTAAGTAGATGCAGTAGTGTTTTTTGTGATAGGTGTTATAGCATTTCATTTGAGATACCCAATAGTCTAGTAGCCTTATGTAGTGGTGTAGTATTAATTACTAGCATTAGTTCCTCTATTGTAATTAGAATCATTAAAGGAGTATAGATGTTATTTTGTATATTTAATTTTGGAGTATAGTAGAGTTTCTAGTTTTTCCATTCTTCATTATCTGGTGGATTAAACTTTGTCTAGTTTTGAAAATATAAACAGGTAGCTTCTTTTATTTCTCAATAGTCTGTAATAATTGTATCTGATGAAATTATTTTCTTAAAATTAACATTGTCTGTATTCTGTTTAAGAATACTATTAATTATACATGTAGTATTATTTTTGAAATCAGTTTGATGATATTGAACATAATATTAGATACGTTCAGATGGTTCTAAATTCTTTTCAGTATTATAGCTTTTCCATATACTTGTTTTTAGAGCCCTTATTACTTTTACAGTTTGCTTGTAATATGAGATTTGAGAATCAGAGTTGACTAGTGAACTAATAGAGATAGATGTTAGAGGAGATATAGATATACCTGATAGTGTTGCTACCTTTGTGATATGTTTGTTAAGAGAAATTAACCAATATGTAATGTCTATAGATGGTAGGGTCAAGACTAAGCTATGGAGGCATTTGTTAATATATTTGAGTATTGTTTGTAACTTAGAAGTTTTGAGAGATAGTATATACTGAGGTTTAGGTCTCTTAAACGTAGATAGAATATGTATATTAGTTGCTTCTTTAATAGCTGCTAACTATATATGCTATTGTTTATTTAAAGGGAATTAATTTTTATACCCCCCACATTTAATATTCATACCCCCCATAATGAAAATTTCCGATAGTCACGTGATCGAGTAAACTGATACTTGTCATTCTGCCATATTATTGGATGAAACTAATTACTACCTTTTCAGGTAACAACCAAATTTTACATCCCAAGAAAACCTCAACTCTGAACAAAAGCCAATTCGAATGCAAGATTAGATAAAATGCAAAAGTCAAAAGTTCAAGACAATTTAATAAATGAAGGATGCAAGTATTATGTGCCAAAGTTTTAAGTCACTAACAGAAACGTTTTCTCAAATTTCAATATTACAATTGTTGTGCAGAATTTTTTTGGTACTTTAGATAGTTTAATAGGTATCTAATAGTAAATAAATATTGATTGCACAGGTTGAATATTATATATAATATTATAGCAAATAGCAATTATTGATAGAAACTTATTACTATAAGGCCAAATTATTTGTTATACATTAAATAACCTTCACTTTATTAAAAAAAGTAGTATGAAATTATAAAATTGAACCTGTGATTTGATCGATAAAAAAGTTTCTTAAATATATTTCAGTTCCTAACTTTTTTTTACTGAGTCAAAGTTTTTTTTCTCCCAAATCAAAAATTTTGTTCGACTGAACAAATAAGTTACTTTTGCTAATATTAACAATACTATAGCTTAAAATAATATAGTGATTACAAACCCAAATCCAGAAGTATTAGCCTAAATAAGAAGGTAATAGTGATAATGAAATAAAGGAACAAGATCCTAAAAAGGTGTAGAGTGTGGCTTTAAAAAAATAAATAAATCCAAATAGAGTGTAGAGTATAACATTGAAGAAAAAAGTGGCCATGCGATACTAATATAAGAACTAGGAGTGTCAAAATAATATATAGCCAAATCTATAGGTTCTGGTATTTTTTATATAACAATTCAGTCATACATTCATTTTACTTCATTTGTTGTATTTATACTTAAAAGATATGAGGTATGGCTATGGAATAGAAGTATAATTTATTCTAAAAGAGTATAGGTTGTGGCTCTGAATGGGTCGTGTTAATGTACAAGAAAATAGATAACAGATTTTAGTAGCTTGAATTCATAAAGAACCAAAAAATCAAATGCTTTAAAATAAAAATGGCAATATGAAATACTTCCATTATACAATCAAAGCCTCATAACAAGATAGCAAATCAGATAGATAGAAAGTTTTCATATGTGTCTAAAGTATAAAAAGAAGAATTTTGATAGTTAATAAAGATAAATTCATTATCAATTTGATAAGAATATCATCGCATTTGCCTTTAATAAATTGTTCAGAAAAATTATAAACATTTCGTGTATTAATACTTGTATTTTGTGATTTTATCTTGTATTCTCATCCTAATTATCTTATATTAAACGAAATATTAAATTTAGTATAAATTGAGTTTTATAAGTTTTCTTCTACACTCAATCCATTGCGTTCTATAACTTATTTCTTAATTAACCATAAATTTTCTGTTAAAATAACATGCTTCCACCACCTCCCACAACATACAACAATCCCGATGAACTTTTTCAAAACGTGCAAAGATTTGCAATTTCTCAAGGATACGTGCTAGTTAAAAAAAGAACCTGAAATGATAAGCATAGTTAATTAAAAAATATGACATTGTGATGTGACCGAGGTGGCGTTTACAATATCTCCTTAGGTCTTACTAAAGAAACACGTAATAGACAAAGGAGCACAAGACTAATTGACTGCCCTTTCGAGTTGTATGCTACTAGATGTGATGGCTTATGGCACCTTGAGGTTCGTAATGCAGCTCACAACCATAATCACTCAGAAGAAATAGCTGGACATCCCATTGCACATCGACTTTCAGAACAACAAACAGCAAGTATTGCAGCGATGACTACTGCTAGTTTACGTCCCAAAGAAATTATATCAACTCTTCGTCAAAATGATCCTTCAACACTAGTCACTAACATCAATATTTATAATACACGTGTGCAGATTCGGTTACAAAATCTAGCAGGTCGTACTCCCATTCAGACCCTAATAGACGAGTTTCAAAAAGGCAACTTTTTATATGAGTATAAATATGATAACACTGGTTCTGTTACTTATCTTTTTTTTTCGCATAATGAATCTATTTCCCTTACTCGTTAATATTCCTCTGTAATTCTTATGGATTGTACCTACAAGACGAACAGATTCAAAATGCCCTTATTAAATATAGTAGGTATCACTGGCTTCAATACTACCTTTTATTCTTGTTTTATTTTTATGAAGAGTGAGGACGAAGAGGATTACAAGTGGGCTTTAACACAGTTTATGCACCTGTTCAATAGAATATCTAAACCTGGTATTATCGTGACTGATAGAGAGCTAGCTCTTATGAACGCTCTCAATTCAGTTTTTCCTGATTCCAAAAACTTACTTTGCGTATAGCACATCAACAAAAATATCCTAAAAAATTGTAAACTGAAGTTTCTAAAAGAAACTGACGAGGAAGACAATGAATGGCAAGACTTTCTTGCAAAATAGAATAATATAGTTCAATCTGAAACAGAAATCGAATTTGATACAAATTGGAATAATTTTCATTTTACTTACATTAATAAATCTAATATTATTTCATATCTTGAGGAAACCTGGATACCATGGAAGGAAAGGTTCGTAAAAGCATGAGTAGATACATTACTACATTTTGGAACAACTGCAACTTCCCTAATTGAAGGTGTACATGCAACCCTTAAATTATATTTACAAACATCTACAGGTGATCTTCACCAAGTTTATCTCACAATATTACTAGTAATAACCAATCTAAAAAAAGAAATCGATACTATGATAGCAACAGAGCGTATCTACATTCTGACTTTTACTGTTATCAACATTTTGTATACAAACATCAGAGGTAAAGTTTTAACTTTTGCACTCAAAAAGATAAATGATCAGTATCAAAAAGCAAAGTATGCTACTACACTAGAACCCTTGCCACCATGCACTGGATCTTTCTCAAGAACCATGGGTTTGCCTTGCGCATATGTTATCAAACAGCTTGGAGATAGTCAGAACCTAATTCTTGATAATATCCATAAGCAATGGTAGATTCCAGGTTACCTACCAGTACCCCAAATTGAGGATAATACTTCCTACTCTGAAGATTCATTACAGCTTTTTTTACAAGATCTCCAACAAAGATATCAGGAATGGCCTGAATTCCAGCAATCAGTAGCACGTGAGATACTAAAAAACATGATTGAAATGCCATTAATTACCTTACAAAACCCCAATGTAGTGCGTACTAAAAGACGTCCTCCTGGTGCTCCTAATCGCCAAACTAACTCAACAAAGAGAGATCTTTCTGGCTTTGAACTGGTAGATTATAAAGTAAGACATTGCACTCTTTGTCTACAACCTGGACATAATGCTCGTACCTGCTCAAACAACTCAGTATGAAGCATTTAGTTAGTTTCTCTTATATTTGTTATAACGCCATTCAAATACATAGTTATAAAATACTTTTTGTCAGTAATTTTTTTTTCTTGACGTAATGTATTTTTTTAACAAAAAAAATATATATAAAACCAAAATATAGTTCAAAGTTCGAACTTTTTAAATAAATGTCAAAAAGTTTATTAAAATTGCAACAGTTGTATTAAATACGTAGTACATATTATTCATTAATACTAATTTTCAAGCTAGCGATAGTGAGAGTAAATGATATTAGTGTTATGTCAAGTAGCATCATCCAATTACATGGCAAATGACGAATATCAGTTCACTAGATCATGTGACGATCAGAAATTTTCGTTATGGGGGGGTACGAATATTAAATGTGGGGGTATAAAAATTAATTCCCTATTTAAAATGCTAATATCTGTAATATTTGCACTTTGTGTCAAAGGCTAAGTTAAGGAATCTACTTTGTCCTTAAATTCCTCTCAGTTTTCTATCATTATTTTATCATATAAGTATATCTTCCTTTTCTTGCTTTTTTTTTTAGAGGCAGAAGGTAGAAAGTTTGTATACTAGGTTGTGCATATAATTAAATAGTTACTATTTGAGATTCCAATTGCATTAATTAGATCTGAAGGGTTGAGATCTAGTAGTATATTTAGTGAAACCTAGATATCATTAATTTGTGAACTAGAGTAATTGTTTTGCTATGTAGGAATAGTTATGTTGTGAAATTGCAGGAGGCTAATATAGTTATTATGAGAAAGATTAGTTAAAAGAGTAAATTGTTTTTTGTTTAATCTAATATGTGAGTTAAAATTTCTGAGTATTATAATATGCTAGTTTTTTTGTTTTGCTTCTAATATCTACAAATTGATCTGTCATTATGTATGAGTAAGAAGCTCTGGATGATTAGATGGTAGATAAACTAATATAATGCAGCATCTATTGTTGCTTAGAAAAAACAAATCTAAGTAGATTGCTATTCCTAGATATGTTCCAATATTGTGAATATAGCTTTGAATAGAGTTATGGACTATTAGGGCTGTACTAAGACTTGCTTCACTACTTTGTTTTTTTTTTTTTTTGTTATTAAGGTAGCTTACATTGCCGAAGGAATTTTATTAGAATTGCATATGGGATATATATTGATAGTCTCTACTGTTTGTAATTACATGAAGAGTGTACAACAAGCCACATGTACAACTTTAGTCATTGTCTAAT